CTACACATATATGTAATCTGAGTCCATTTAGTGGTACTTGTGTATACATGTGTTTAGGGCTGACCACTTGGGATCCGATAACCTGTTAAAAGAGCTTGTCCCTCAACAAAACTGATCCTCCCTCAGCAGCCACTGATTGCCTGTAGCTCTTTATCTAGAGGTGTGACCTTATAAAATTTCCCCCATCCATTTTGGCATGTGAACTGGTGTTACTGTTACACAGATATTGTTTAGGCAACCACATTGTTGAAATTTCATGGGTGCAACCTCCCTGTGATGTCTATAAGATACTATCTAGCAGCAGCTGTCCTGGTTCTCTGGCTCATAAAATTGTTTGCCTCTACCCTCCCCTACTCCCCTCCTTTCCCTTATGTTCCTTGAGCCTTAGGTCTAGGGGTTTCCTTGTAGATACATTAATTAGGGCTTGGCACTTCACAATTGCATATTCTCTGCATTTTGACCAATTCTGGAACTGTGTAACGCAATCTCCATCTAATGTGAAAAAAGCTTCTTTGGATGAATCACCGGTGAGAACTATACTCATCTGTGAATACTTAAAGTATTTAGAATATAATAAGAATATACATTGGTTTGGGAAAGTGACAGTAGTAGATTCTTTCCAGGGTCTATGATCTCTCCAGCGATGTGTATTTGGCTATATTTTACTACCAGGCATGAATTTCCTCCTATTGAGTGGGCTGTAAGTCCAATTAGACAGCGTTTGTTATCCCCAATATAAAAGTGCACCAGTAGGGACATTTTGCTGGACTGCTTACTGTTGTGGTTCGTAGGTATTCCAGCTAGGTAGGTCTGTTGGTTGCTCTTCTCCCTTGGCAGTTTGCATAGCACCTTCTGATATCATGGGAGCTAGCTTCTATGTAAACCATATTGGATTTGAACTCAAAGAGATCCCCCTGCCTCTGCCTCCCGAGTGCTAGGACTAAAATCATGTGCCACTATACCAGACTTTATATATACATTTTAAGTAAGTTTATAAAATAATTAATTTCCCTATGGCTTTTTCAGGCATCCTTAGTATCTTTCCTTCCCCTCTATGCCATGCATTTTGTTTTGTTTGAGACAAGGTCTCCCTGTAGCCCCAACTGGCCTGGAACTCGTGGTGTAAACTAGACTGACTTGGATTTCATAGAGATATGCTTGCCTCTGCCTCTTGAGGGCTGGAAATAAAGACCTTAGCCATCATGTCCAGTTATGACATGCATTTTTTAAAAGTGTAGATTTAAGGACCATGAAGAAAGGTTTTTATTGGGTCAAACCAAGGGATATTTTGAAGAAGTGACAGATAATTTCGATGCCAATTTGGAGCCTCATTATTAGGCCAATTAATTGTATACTACATTGCAATTTACTTCGAGATTTCGATCTGTGGCTGTGTTTCTCAATCCTGCCTGTATATCACACTGACCTGTGGTGCTAATAAAGTACATCTTCAGGCTACCATTTTCTGAGACTGATCTAATTGTCTTGCTGAAGTGGCAAGGTATAGAAGTAGTATTTACATTTTGAAGGTGCCTTGTAGTGTTGTTACGTGGTTATGGTTGAATTGGACATTAAGATTATTTCTCAGAATGCAGTGTTCCTGCTAGCATCATCACCATCTCTTGTAAACTTGTCAGAAATGCAGGCTCTTTGGCTCCACCCTAGATTTAGATGTACCAAATTGGAAACTCAAGTTGGATCCAATTCTCTTGTTTCAACAACCTCTAGAGGAGATTCTGATGCTTGCCAAAATTTACAATTCTTGAATGGCATTGCTGAAGGTTTTCCAGTTGCTCTAGAAAAAATAACTCTCTTTGGCGGGGGGTGGCTTAATTGACTTAATTATGTGTATTATAATGTCACAGGTAGTTATCTTGGAATTGGGTTGAAAATTTACAAATGATTTAGCGTGATTGTCAAGGCAATTAAGACACTTGCTAATTTCAGGCTGGCCTGGAATGAGTGATTGTCCTGCTTCAGCCTCCAAGTGCTAGGATTACAGGTCTGTGCCACCATACCCAGCTTCAACGAAGAATCTAGAAGCAGAGAAAAGTCAAGAAACTTGCCCAGATTACAGAATGTTGGAGAGTATATCTGCTTCAGGTGGCCTGGCTCAGATGCCACCCCTTACCCCATCTCTAATGATACATTGGGTCATAACCAGCATCAGCCTGACCCTCTCCTAGCTCCCATGGCAGACTCAGGAAAAGCTGGCTTGTGTTTCCTCATTGAGTTCAGGTAAATATAGCCAGTGGCAAGATTTTACAGTGAACAGGGGTTATTCTCTAATCAGGAGTGTTACTTTTTTTTTTTTGGTTTTTTTGAGACAGGGTCTTCCTGTAGCCCCAGCTGTCTCCTGGAACTCTATGTAGACCAGGCTGGCCTTGAACTCGGAGATCAACCTGCCTCTGCCTCCTGAGTGCTGGGATTAAAGGCATGCACCACAACACCCAGCTTAGAATGCTAATTTTAAGCAGCTCTTAAAAGTCGAGTGGGCTTTTTTGTTTGTGTGTGTATGTGTATTTTCCTAGCCTTTGTAAGGAAGAATTAAAGAAATCAAAGACAGTTTATAAATGGGAAGAAAGCAAGATAAGCATTTATAAATATAAAAGACAAACATGTTTTCTTTTAGGGATAGTTGTACTCCTGTAATTGGTACATATATTGCAATGTAGACAGTTAAACTTGAGTTTACTTAACCTGATACCATCAATAGTAAAGCAGTACCCTATAACATGTAAAACATATTGGGACTGAAGAGATGGCTCAGCGATAAAGAGCATTGACTACTCTTGCAGAGTAGCCTTTGTTCGATTGCCAGCACCCACATGGTGGCTAACAGGCATCCATAACTCCAATTCCAGGGGATCTGATGCCTTCTTCTGACCTCTGAGGGCATCGCAGGACATGGGTGCACTTACATGCATGCAGGCAATACACCCATACACTAAAAATAAAATAAATAAGATTTTTTTAAAAAAGTCTTTATGTTTTACTTGTAGTTGCAATTTCAGACCTCTTAAATATGGGGTCTAGTATTTTCTCTTGTTTGTTGTTGATAATAATTGTCCTCTGCTATTTCTCTTTAACTTGGAAATAGTTCAGCAGTCAGGGTGTTTACTCCACGTGGTATAGAGTTTCTCAGTTTTGAAATAGTAAGAGATTTAACTAAACTAAACTCTAGTTTGTTTTTTTTAGATGCTTTAAAAACTTTTTATCCAGGCCTATAATTGAGCTGCTTGGGAAGTTTAGGCATGAGGACTGAAAGGTCAAGGTCAGCCGGGACAATTTAATGAGACCCTGTCTTGATATAGAGAGCTGGGCCTGTGATTCAGTAATAGAGCACTTGTCCTAGGTTTAGTATTAAGAACTGGGAAAAAAATTTAAAGCAGAATTTCTAATAAAAAGAAATTTCAGTAGCACTTACATAAAATGATGTTTATAAACAAGTTTGCTATTGAAGCCCCTTATTTCTATGGCAAGAGTAGTTTAATTGTCAGAACCTTCTTGTGAAAATTGCAGCAAAAAAATACTTTAAACTGCTTTAAATCCAGATTTAGTGCTCAGGAGTCATATAAGCTTAACAATAAAAAGTGGCTTGGATTGAGTTCCCTTGTAGCCCAGTGGTACCTTTGTGATGGAATTTGCTTTCTTTAAGAAAACTACATATATATTATTTTTATTTTATGTGTATGAGTGTATTGTCTCTACCTGCATGTACACCCATGTCGCCTGCAGAGGTCAGAAGAATGTCAGAAACCCCTGGACTGGCGTTATAGATGGTTAACATGTAGGTGCTGGGAACCTGGGTCCTCTTTAAGAGCAGCCAGTGAACCATCTCTCCAGCCCACAGGGTCTCCCTGTAGCCCCAGCTGTCCTGGAACTCACTATGTAGACCAGGCTGGCCTTGAACTCACAGAGAGATCCGCCTGCCTCTGCCTCCCAAGTGCTGGAACTACAGGCGTGCGATACCACGCCCAGCTTGGATTTGCTTTTTAACCAATGTTAATTTTATTGGGTAGGCCTGTCTTTGACAGTCTGACAGCTCTATCCATTTAAATTCTTGTTTATAGTCTTCAGAATGACCCCCAGAGTAGCCCTTCTATTTCTTTTAACCTTTTTTGTAAATTCTTTTTAATTTTTTTTTTTTTTTTTTCTTTTTGAGCTGTAGCCACAGCTTTCCTGGAACTGCTAGGTAGACCAGGCTGGTCTCAAAAGCATAGAGATCTACTTGCCTCTGCTTCCCAAGTGCTGGGAGTAAAGATGTGCGCCACAAGCCCAGCCTAATTTTTCAGTTCTGGAGCAAAAATTTAGTTTTGTCCCTTATATGTTTTCTTAGCATGGAGCAGTCTTAACTTGATTTTATACTTGTTTACTTCCTTTTTTGAGCAACTAATAATAAACCATCTTGACCTGGGGATAATAGCTTCAAGAAAAAAACAACCAAAGGCAACCATTCTTGGAAAAGAGCTGTTAATCTCAGGATTTTGGTGCTCATGTCCTTGCTTTTATTCAGAACTGTAAAGACCAGTTCATATCAAATAAGTCTTCCTTAGAAGTACAAGAGACTTACTTCATAGTAGGATTCATAAAATACATATGGAAACTTACTGTCTTATAAATTTCTTGGTAACTTTCAGAAGCAAGAACATTTTTCCTTAAGTATAAGAAAAAATCTGTTAAATATATTCCTCTTAATTTTCATCAGACATCCAATTACAAATATCTTCATTATTGTTGATGGTACCTGTAGAAATGGCCACATTGGCCAGTTGTTACCTATTTCTGGGTATTAGTTTTAGATTCATTGTGTGCTTTTTCATGAAAAACTATGAAGTACACAAGCAGCTGTACCTTTTACTTGTTGCACATCATCTATTTTGAAAAACATTCAGAAGATATCTTTGAAATAAAAGAAATGCTGACCCATTAGAGTGTGGACCCATTTTAGTCAGTAGTGGCCTCTCACTTTGCTGATTACATGTATTTGTGACCCTTAGATCGTAGGGAATGGAAGTGAACAGCAGCTACAGAAAGAGCTAGCAGATGTGCTGATGGATCCTCCAGTGGACGACCAGCCAGGGGACAAGGAGCTTGTGGAAAGGTCACAGCTGGATGGTGATGGAGATGGGCCTCTTTCTGATCAACTCTCAGCCTCATCCACCATTAACCCTGTGTTACTAGTAGGGCTTCAGAAACCAGAGATGAGCCTGCCAGTGAAACCTGGACAAGGAGGTTAGGATTGCTGCATTGCTTGCGTAACTGAAGGTTATTGTTTTTAATATTTGAGTGTCTGCCTACTGTACTAGATTAAAGAGTTAAGTTTTTTTTTTTAATTCAGTTCTCTAGAAGTTCGATTTTCCAGATCTAAGGTGATGTCAGATATATATACCATTCTGATTTCTCTTTAACTATATTTCAGTTACACACAGTAAGAAAGAAAAACAATAGTTGCATGATACTGAAAACAGTCTTTTTTAAAATCAGAGGGCTTAAAGAGTTTGTGAGGAAGTTTGTGATGAATTAAAAATCAGAAAAACAAATATAGCAGAAGTTTTCCACGAAAGAAGAAATTTGATCACAGTGTTGGGAAAATGGAACGATGATACTTCCTGGAGCATCCATAGATGTTTGCTCCAGGCCTATATAACTTGAGAGCAAGTTGGAAAAGGGAGAGTAGTACAAGAAACAGAAAGCCATAGGCAAAAATGAACAGTTATAAAGGTTTATTTGGAAAAACAGGTTATTAAAACTATAGATGTTACTTGAAAGGGAAAAGCAAGAAGATGAAGAGAATGTAATACAGCAGCTACCATGATGACCGAAGAAATAATAACTGCAATCAGAAGACACGTCAGAGATGGGATTTTCTTTAGAGTAGTCAAATACTAAATATAAGTTACAAAATCAAAACAAAAATTAAGAGACATAAAAATGAGTCATATCTAACTCTTGGGTAACATTTTGCATTTGGAATTAACATCATCTAAAATCTTGGTATTAGAGTTCTAGTGTCAGTTTTCTGGCTTCCATGGCCATTTCTTACCCTTGGGATATGGCATATTATCCAGTAGCACTTCACTTAGTGTTTTATTTGCTATTCATGTCAACACATAAAAAAGCATCTAATTTTTTTTGTTTTTCAGATTCGGAAGTGTCAAGTCCTTTCACACCTGTGGCTGATGAGGATAGTGTGGTTTTCAGTAAACTAACTTACCTAGGCTGTGCCTCAGTAAATGCTCCCCGGAGTGAAGTGGAAGCTTTGAGGATGATGTCCATCTTGAGAAGTCAGTGTCAGATTTCTCTGGATGTAACCCTCTCAGTGCCGAATGTATCTGAAGGAGCTGTGAGGTATGGCCAGCCTCTTGAAATCTCTGTGAAGCATTGTTTTACAAAGAAGCCGTGGTGAATAAAATGCAAAAATTAATTCCTTCGTGTAAGGTTTAGTTATGTGGCACACATATCTTCCAAGAATTGTCACCTCATGAAAAATGTACACTCAAGCCCTGCATGGTGGCTCACCCCTTTAATCCCAGCACTCAGGAGGCAGAGGCAGATGGATCTCCGTGAGATTACTGTATAGTGAGTTCCAGGCCAGCTGGGACTATAGGGAGGCCTGTCTTAAAAACACCAAAAAGAGGGGAGGGAGGGAAGGAGGAAGCGGGGCGGGGGGGGGGGGGGGG